ATCATTATTCTTTGCGTAGGTGTCCTGTATTGGAAAGCACAGAGAAAGACGTGAAGCAGGCAAACAGGCCCAAGTCAAGGTACGAACGTAATAGTTCAACAAATTATGGACGTGACAAAACGTAGTTAGGAGAATTAATATGCTATGATCCCTCAATAAAGTTCAGAAGTATGGGAGCAGTGGGATGTTATCCACAAACTGTGAACCACCTTGCACATCATGATAAACAGTACCAAATGAAATTACTATAGCTTTCACTTAAATGGTCACACACTAGGTTTTCATCCACAGACTTAAAAGTTAACAACACCGCGTACAGCATAATAAACAGTACAACAAGTACTGCTCAATAGCTTTCATTTGAATGGTCACACAGTAAGGTTTCATCTACATACTTAGAAGTTCGAATCACCTTGTACAGCATAATAAACAATACCACATGAAAGAACTGCTCAACAACTTTTATTTGAATGGTCACACACTAGGGTGTCATCCAAGGACATCAAAGCTAGAATTACCCTGCGCAGCATAATAATACCATATGAAACTAGTAGCTTAGGGTTTCATTAGCCTGCGTAGCAAGCGTTTCTGTGGCGTTCAGGAAAGAATTACAGCGCGAAAAATGGAGCGAGTAAAAGAGGGGGGAGGGGAAGGGGAAGGAAGGAAGGAAACGCTTGCAGACAAACCCCTGGATTTTGAAAACCGCCCACTTGACCTTTCATGCCTGAGTGCGCACACTGAGATTTCATGCTGTCATCAGCTGTCATAAATTAACCAATAAAATCTTTGGCCTTCCGTACCGGAAGTGAACTTTGAACCAAAATAAACTTTACTTATGTCTGAAACAACGAGCACACGGTGGGAACGGAGAAATCTCGATGAATTAAATTTCGTAATTTATTATCAAGCTATATTTCTACTCAATCCGTCTAAAAGGAAGGACTGCAAGGGTGAAGTTTTAGCACAAATCTGCCAGAAAGTTAAAATGTGAGAAGTATTCCAGTCGCGTTAGCAATCCTTGTGCTCGCATGATTCGAAATCTCGGATCACTGTATTCATTCGTTCAGGAATCGATACAAGGTAAAATTAGCAAGTCAACTCCCACAAAGGCAATTCCAGTAAAGAAGCGTTCGCTGGGAACGCCAGATCCACAAATCGGTTCGACTGTTATCGCCTACAGCAGAAACAAACAACAGAAAGTCTTCTCGGCAGACTTTGGAATTTGGGCAGGAGAGGCTACAAACATCTGAGAGGGGAAATAACGATCATCTTGACCAGTATCTGAATAAAGATAATCTTCCCCTAGGCGGCCTCCAAGTCAAAGTTGTTTATTAAATGTCCTCGTAAGAATTCCCCGCAACGAGACGACTAAATTTTTGATGAGGCAAATATGTGACAAAAACTGGCATGCCGCAGCTAACACTATAACAAATCATTCAGAATTGTACCCAGAGGTTCTAAATGTTGACAACAAAAATGCTTCTAGTGAAATGTCAGAGTACCTACGATAACACGTTGCCATGTAACAAGCCAGACGAAATCACTAGGTTTTCCCACGCAGTAGTGCGAATTTTCTGTCCCGTTGTTTTATATTATCTTGTCCTTGGCGCATGTGGCATTCAAGAAAGTGATGTTAAAATTAAAGGAACAGCTGCAAATTGTGTCGCGCTTGCTTCTGCAATAATGTGCNGCTGTTAACAAAAATGCTTCTAATGAAATGTCAGAGTACCTACGACAACATGTTGCCATGTAACAAGCCAGACGAAATCACTAGGTTTCCCCACGCAGTAGTGCGAATTTTCTGTCCCGTGGTTTATTATCTTGTCCTTGGCGCATGTGGCATTCAAGAAAGTGATGTTAAAATTAAAGGAACAGCTGCAAATTGTGTCGCGCTTGCTTCTGCAATAATGTGCAGGCCTCGAAAAACCAAAGCATTGCTCTACAGGATTTCTACCGTACTGTCGAAGCTGACGACTAAATCCTCGTTCAGCGAGAGAAGTTAAAGAGTTTTGGAACCAAGCTTCGAACGCGTCTTCCCCTTTTGTCTGGCACTAAAAGGTATTAAACTACCTTTGATCGACACATGTCAATAATATTGGACCAGCCCAGCCAATCACGAGCTCCGTTCACTGGCGAACGGAGATTTTCAAAATCCAGGGGTTTGTCTGCAAACGTTTCCGTCCTTCCCCTCTCCCACCCCCGTCTTTCTTTTTTTTGGTTCTCGCCCCATTTTCCGCGCAGACAAAACACCGAAAATCCCGTTCCTCGGTCTTTCTTTGCTTCCAAACCCCACGGAAACGCNCAGGCTTCGAAAAACCAAAGCGTCGGCATTGCACTACAGGATTTCTACCGTACTGTCGAATCTGACGACTAAATCCTCGTTCAGCGAGAAAGGTTAAAGCGTTTTGTAACCAAGCTTCGAACCCGTCTTCCCCCTTTGTCTGGCACTCAAAGGTGTTAAAATGCTTTTGATCGACACATGTCAATAATATTGGACTACCCAGCCAATCACGAGCTCCGTTCGCTGGCGAACGGAGGTTTTCAAAATCCAGGGGTTTGTCTGCAAGCGTTTCCTTCCTTCCCCTCTCCCACCCCCCTCTTTCTTTTTTTGGTTCTCGCCCCATTTTCCGCGCAGGCAAAACACCGAAACTCCCGTTCCTCGGTCTTTCTTTGCTTCCAAACCCCACGGAAACGCTTGCTACGCAGGCTAGGGTTTCATCCACAGACTTCAAAGTTAAAACCACGCTAATTGACATGGAGGTTTACTAAAAACAGTTTTGTTAATTCCTGTTTACGGTGTTTTGTTTTTTCTTTTTCTTTTTCAAACCAGGCTGATCCAAACGTCGACTTAAACAATGTGAACCTGGCACCAGAATACTCCGAGGACTATCCCATAATATTCAACATCTGGCTGTGGTTGGTCATCGTCTTAGTCCTTTCCATATATGCAGTTTGCGTCATCATGTGGTACATGGACCCAGGCCGGGACAGCATTATTTACCGCATGACAAGTCAGAGAATCAAGACGGATTGACTCGCAGATCTCAGTCGAAAGGAGTTCGACAATTACAGAGTTAAAACTGATTGATGTATGAATTATAACAAGTTGTAACTTGTAAGCGATTGCAGGGCAGAAGTTTTTGCATCCCGGCAACGGATTGTAATTTTTGCTAAGCACGGTAGTTTTGTTGAAAGTAATCATAATTTCCTTGTGTTTGTAACGAGATCTTTTGAAGGATTCAAATTGTATTCATTCGTAAATGGTGCAGATTACTTCTCTTTTCTTGTTGCGTTTTGTTTTGATAAGAATCGTGTGTGAAAATTCATTAAATTACATTTTTGTTTGGTTTACATTTGATTCTTTCATATTCTCTTGATGCTTTATAGTAGTAATTGCCCTTTCTGGATGAAAAAGTGAAAATAGGCCACTTTGCTAATCCAGATCTCACACTTTCTTGAATCAAATACTATGAGATGATAAACAATCCGTTGGCAGAAAAAATACCAACATGTTATGCACTTTCTCTTGGATCCTGACGGTCTTAATTTCCTGTTGGGACAAGAGACTATGGCTTGGATTCCATCACGTCGATGTCGCGTTAAGTCTTCCAACTGGGGTATCTGTACACTTGTAGCTTCGTACCCAGATTTTTTACTGAGTAAAACAAACAAAGCAAAATACACGTACAATACAACTACAAGAGTGAAATACAAAGTCACAAAGAGAAGTACAACGAAATAAAAACACAAAAAGTTGAAGGAAGGTGGGGCGATAGTTACAATATTTTAGGGGATTACAGCATATCTTCATATAAATTACTGGCTATTATTTTGGCGGTCAGGGGGACTGGAAATAGCAATTTGCATACCATATGCAAGAGGAATTCATTTTTGGTGTCACTCGCTTTTGTGTCTAACTTAAGATTTTACAAGACGTAAGAAAAGTGTAAAAACCTACGACTTGCTAATTTCACCCCAAGCCTGCCTTCAAAGTCACGGTCAGAATTAGAGATTGAACGAAATTCCAAAACAAATCAAAAATCACTGAAAGGACGCCCATATGAAAACGAGCAGAAGTTCCAGCAGTGTCGTGGTCATGACACGAATTTCCGCACAAACGAAGCTTGGGCGTTCGATCCGAGCGTCATCATGCATCTGGTGGGAGTCAACATTAATCGCGTGACGACCTTAAAATTTCAGAGTAAACAATCTTTGTGCTTGATAAATAAACTAAGCTTTGATCACACAAAACGTAATTTGCAGGGATGTGATAATCTGTTCACAAGATGTTTCTGGCAAACCTTTAGTGCCGCGTTATGAAACTTAACTCCTCGAGGTTTCCTATTGTCGATGACCTTCACTCAACTATGCGCGGCTTTCTAGAAAGTGATAACGTTATCAATTACAAGTAACGTGACTAATAAAGAATTCGATCTGTACGGGTCCGCAAATGATCCCAGGACCGCAAATGATCCCCAAATTGGACTGCAAATGATCTCGGACCGGAAATGATCCCCATATTGGACCGCAAATGATCCCGATCAAAAAATAAGGAATGGCATGGATTTATATCAGAGGAAGGTGAC